TGAGTTCTGGTGAAGGGTGACAGGGGCTGAGGGTCTGCTGGGGATGGAGATTTGGGGTGGGAGTGCTGGGGGAAAGGGGAGAAGTGCAGGTTTGGTGAATGACCTCTGACCCCTGGCCCAGGGTTTACTGAGATGAGAGACAAACCTGGGAAGAGAAGAAGAAGAGAGGGAGAGGACGTTATTTAGACAAGTCTGTGAATGATGTTCAAATTTGATGGAACAAAATTATGGAGTAGATTATATAAAAAGGCCTGTTTCCCACAGGGTTGTGATCTCTCGTAACACACACACACATACACACACATACACACAGACACACCTTTCCCAGGCGTTTCTACAAGAGAGAATAAGCATTGCTATTGCAGCAGAGCTCTCTCTACCACTGACTGGCATCGCGATATGTCTGGAGCATTTCATCCATCAGTGCATGTCTCGGCTTCATGGAGCCGAGCGTCCACACAGTCATTATATTGAAAATGAATGCGCATGAACCGTCATGAACACACAGGCCTGTAGGTAGCAGAAAGATGCGGCGCTGTTTCATATATTCATGTGGAGAAAAAGGGTGTCATCATGAATTGTAATTATGGGCTGAATCCAGGGGGAAATAGGCTTCTTTCTACGGCTCCGGATAACATCTGTTAAAATATTCTGGGGGGATCAGTAGGCTTATTATCCTCAGGGTGTCAGGGTGGGATATGACTTGCTGTCTTAACAAAATAAATGGCTTAAATTGGGGGGGAAACAACCTATTTTTGCATGTAGGGCTGTGCAGGATAGCCTCACACCGCTATCACATCATGGTAGGAGGTGCCAATCATGCTTTAAATGATGAAGGACTAATTAGCTAATCAAATCAGAAGATCACGCAATTGGATTATCTTTTAGTGATATGATTAACCCTAATGTCGGAAAACGCTCCGCCGCTTTGGCTTTATTCCGACTGCAAGGCGTCTATTTCCTATCAACACCCCACTTCCCCCCCCTCCCCACAACACCCTTCCTCATCCCCCCCACCCATAAAAACAGCTGGACGGTCTAACGCACGGCTAGGTCTGTGCACCCGACATCACGGCGGACATCAGCCGCTACCAAACGGGTTGTGTGTCTTACCCTCTCCATGCCCGACAGAGAAAGCAAGTGAAGGCGCATCGTGGCCCGGTTCACTCCATCAGAGCACCTGAGAGACGGAGGCTGCAGCTCATCCCCGTTACAGCCCGGTTACAGCCTGCCCCATCCCCGCCCTCCCTCTCTGTGCTGTGGGAGCGATGGAGCTGCTTCGGGTCAAGCTGCACGAGGTAAACACAGGCAACATCCGGTCAGGACTTTCAGAATAAAACACGCAGGTATGCAAAGATCTCGTCCAATCAAAATACAAAAAAAAGAGTTAATGTCTTATATTTGAACAACACTCATATACCTATAGTCCTACTTCGAGTCTCTATACGTAAAACAGTCTTTTTTAAACATATATTTTAAATAGTATAAATATTTAGGTTATTGCGCTAGCTTATTAACACAGTCTTACAGGTAGCCTACTGTGTATGCCACCTTGTGTTTGACTTCACAGAGTCTTGCTAAGATAAGAATTAGCATATTGGATATGGCTTATCATGATTTATTTCACTGTGAGTCAGTGTAAAGATGACTAGATGAGTAAGCACTAGTTTTATTTTATAATGCTACAATTATAATGGGGGAAAACACATTTTATTTGCTGCACACCTTTTTGAACTAGTTTCAGTTTACTGTATTCTAGTCAAGGATTTTTAACTTTTCAAGCATCTTAAAATCTAAAGACTATTCAAATTACATTAAATAAAACGAATACAACTTTTGTTACTTTTAGAAACAACAATTTGGGATTCAGTACCTTGCCTGAGGACTCCGACATGTTGGCTACAGGAGGTGTGAATCAAACTGCCCACTCTCAGATAGACACTAACATCAATATCTGGTTGATCTCATAACGGCAAGCAACTTCACATAGTATATCTGTTTGTGATTGGACTTTCTATATATCACAAGTCAACAGGACAGACAGAACAGAGCACCAAACCAGGACAGGTGTAATGCCGCATTAGTATATCAGGCTTGAATTGCCTCCTTGTTGCCATATATGTTTTTGTTCAAATGTGCAATATAGTATCACTCTGTTAAAAGGTGAAAAATGACTGATACTTGAATAACTGAAAACTTTATTCTGAAGTCAAATCAGAGTGCTTCCGGTCACATTCGTTAATTTTCTGTGTAACTTCACAACCTCCCATCGTTTATCTTCCCTCATCCCTCTTCCTTGGTAAAGATGCTGGGTCTTAAAGAAACAAACTCACACCGGCTATCATCAAGTTAACTCCTTAGGTCCTTATTGTCATTTCATACTGCACTTTACTTCAGTTGTATACCTTATGACACAAATGCAATTGTCATTATCAGAAGGACAATTATTTCATTAAAAAGTTGTCTCTGTGTAGTAAATGAAATTTGCCCAAGTACTGAAACAGGTGCACCCTCTGGCGGCTAAATAAGGAACATGCAATACACTACCATAGGTACAGATTTTAAACCACCATCATGAATTCACATATTTTTTTGAAGAACTGAACAGAATGAGGAACGTTAAATAAAGTTGCAAACCAAAAAACCATTTGAAAACAACTAAAAGTTTGACTGTTGTCAAAAGTATTGAGGTGAACTATTTAGGGATTTATGAAATATTACGTTTTTTTTCAATAACATTGAATTCAAATGTTGACAATTTGTTTCCATATGATTAAATCACCCACTACTACACAGTTAAAATGTACCAGTCACCATCACTTGTCATGCACTGGTCTGTCAGCCAATCAGATCACTGAAGAGGCGGGTGTTAAGACCCTAGATAGAGACGGAGAGGAGGGGGTGAGATGGAGGTGACGTAATGTTCTTTTTGGAGAGGGTGATGTACAGTAGAGCCACCAGAGTGAAAGTGCATCCAATTCAAAATTGAAAACAACATATTTTAGAGTAAAAAACAGAAGTAAGAAATAGGAAAGTGTGGGATGATAGAAAGCAGATCATCTCAGTCTTGTCTGGATGAGTTTGAAAACTTACAAACAGTTTTTGGCTGTAAGTTAAAGTTTTAAGAGAGCAAACATGTCAATACTTCACAATAATCAATCTGTACCTCTTTAGGAATAGGATCATTTATAGTTAAAAAGATTTTTTTTACAACAAATCATGCAGTGCATAATGATTTATTGAAGTATAGTCTAGTTAATGAACACAGTCACAAAAAAAACAGAAGTTCTCCAGTAAAGTATCAGTGTTTCTGTGTTTGAATGAAGCTCCCCTGAGCGCAGTATACTTACAAGATGTCCCTGCATCATGCCCTCCTGCCATGACGTCTTCACAGACCCACTGACAGTGTGTTGACAGCTTCACCACCACCTCTGGTCACAAACAGTTGGATGAAATGACAGAGCTCGTGTTGTGCACGATGCCTTCTGCACACACAACACAAACCTGTTAAAGTTCCCACAGGGAGCTGGGTCCGGACTCAAAGGAAATCCTGTTTGAAAGCAGACTGGCTGCGCTCTGTACAGGAGAAACACAATCCTGCATATTCTGTGGTGTATATATTTATATTGTCTTGGTATAATATTTGTATAGGTCAATATCAGCTATAAAAAACTATTAACTAACTACCTTCAGTATTATTCTACTGCTGACAAAGAGGTATGGTATGCATTTCTGTATATCCCCAGGGCTGAAATGTTCAATTAACAACAGCAGTCCACAAACGAAACCACACTGAACTAGAATTATTGCAAAGAATCAAAGAGCATTGGACTGAATCGAGAATGTTTTACCTTTTAACTGGGTGGATGCCACTTAATACAACACCTCATTAATAACTGTACAATACTTTATGTGTTTTGCACCTGTTTTTGTGCTAAAACGTCAACAAGTGTATTTCATCTATTGATATTTGCAGGAAACATGTGCAAGGGTTACACTCAATCAGACCCCGTATGTGCTGCTATGCCCACAAGTAAGAACATTTCACAATAAATATAATGTCTGAACACCAGGGATTATTATGATGCACATAATAAACACTGACTTGAGGATTGAGCTTTCTGAAGACGTCTTTATCTAGATGCGGTGACTGACAGCAGCAGCTGGGTGGCTATCAGGAGAGGAGGGGCTCTGCGGGGTCACCAGAGGTCAGAGGGTTACAAGAATGCCGATAGGAATGTCCTGATCAGCGGACAGGGGAGCGTCTCCTCAGCGGGACAACAACAAGGATCAGAGGCTCCCACACACACTGGATTGCTCAATTAGTATTGCACATTTCCTACTACTATGTTTTTATATTGGACTATAATGCTGTACTTTGTATTATATATTGTAAGAGTTTATTTCCAAAATCAGAGAGAACATCAAATTAGTGTTGGATTGTTTTGATAAGGTACTATATCTACATTGTCTAAATCCTAAAATATAAATCTAACAAGTGCTGCTTTCTTTATTTGACCACTTAGCGATGCCGTTCTCATGAATACAATCCCTGGTTGTCGTTACTACATCATGAGTGGGAGTGTATGCAGTTAGTTTGTCCCGTCGGTAGCCCCCAAAATAATTTGATTGCGAGAAGTTTGGTTTAGACTCGCAGTGCTTCTCAAAGTGTGGTCCGCGGACCACTGGTGGTCCGTGAGCGCCCCCTAGTGGTCCGTGAGTATATTGGCAACATTTCACATTTGAAATAAAATAATTAATTAAAGTTTTCCGCACTCTCACGGGAATATCTCCGCAATGGAGCGAGCTTAAGTTTCACTTTCAATTGCATGATATAGCCCAGATAAACACCTTCATCACACATGTGGCCAATTGTTTGTACCATTTTTCAGGCGATTTGTAAAAAACGATGTGTTTTTGGATATTTGTGGAGTTAGGTGGTCCGCGAGTGTTTTTTTATTGGTTAAGTGGTCCTTGGTATGAAAAAGTTTGAGAAACACTGGTTTAGAGGCTTTAAATAAGACTTTATTTGAAGATTTTTGACATTACACTTAGGACCCTGCTTTAATTAAAAGTCATCAGAAACTGAAGATTTCTGAATATACATATATTGTTTTTTTAGATCTTGAAATCTAATGTAGACCACAGAGATGAACACACAGTACGATATGTCATGATTCACAAGGCAAGTCTGAATTTACATACAGTTCACATAATTCAGTTTGTAGAACCCATCTGGATATCTGTGTCAGTGCAAATCGGAGTGTGTTTGTGTGTGTGTGTGTGTGTGTGTGTGTGTGTTAAATAAGGCTGTCAGTGTCCATTAAGTGTGTATAGGCAGATTCTGTGGAGGCTCTGCAGGCAGATGATTCGGGGCCTCGCCTTGGAGTTCAGCTGGGGCTTTTACATCTGTGAGAGAAAGATAAAGATGCATTAAATAAAAAGAAATTCACACCAACAATAACACATACATTGTATCACAGACTGTTTACCTTTATCTTCCACTTTTGGGGCCTCTGGTTGAAATTGAAGTTCTCCATTAGGACCCGCCGGGGGCTGCCCGTCGGCTGCCTGCTGTTCCTTTCTCTGGGACATCTCTAATACAGCCTGAAATTGTGAAATTGCAACTGAATTATCACCTGTATGTTTCAGTGCTATTACAGGCTGATAATTGGTTATTGAAAAAGTGTAACCCCCATGTAATTATGATCCACTCTTTGAATCCAGTTTGGGTTGATATAAAGCTGTGAGTGTGGGGACAGTTACCTGCTGGTACTCCCTCCTCTGCGCCTCCAGGGCTTTGCCTCTCTCCTTCAGCAGGTCCTGCTGCTGCTGCAGGTTCTCTGCCTTCCTCTTCAGCTCCTCCTCTTTGTCCTTGAGTTCCACCTCAAATAGCTGGAGCTCTTCCTCTGTGTACGCCGGTTTAGTTTCCAAAGTCTACAGAGACAGCAAGACATTCACACGACTGTTGAAATATTATGGATTTGTAAAGACGTAGCTTCGTTATTCTCACCCACATAACCTCATTGGCTGGTTCTGCTCCTGTCTTCATTCTCAATATGTCTTTGTTCAAAGCTATTAGCTGATACTAAACACATGCATCTCTGACTAAGGGGACAAGCTATATTATGGGTACTTCTTTTCTGAACTGTCCCTCCTGAGTGGACAGTGTTAAAGCAATGTAATGCTAAATAGCTTTTTTCTAACTAAATGCAACATTAAACTACATAATTCCATTCACAGCAGCCACTAATGGGAGCAGCTTGAAGTCTGCAAATTGATGAAAAGAAAGAATAGCATTACACATTTAACTACACCGCCCACATTTCCCCAGCTTGTCCTGGGATTTGAACCACAGATTTGAACCTCCGACCGCCCGCCCACACCCCCGACCTACAGGCCACCCTGGGCTCTTTACCTCCCACTCCCTGGGATTACTGAACTCCTTCTTCTCCGTGGATTTAAGGAACTCTTCCAAGCTGACGAGACGATCTTGATTTGCGTCCACCTTTAACACAGAAACATCAGCTATATGAGTTGTGGCAAAGCATGGAAGGAAGTGGAGTGTATAACAGCATATGTTAGAAACAAGAGCAAAAACCCTCACATTCTTCATGACATGCTCCCTCATCCTCAGCCTTTCTTCCTCCATCTCTGTCATATCATCTTCCTCATTCTTTGCGTCGTAGACCTTCTCCAGCTGGAGGAGGGAAATGAACAGGTGTTACAGGGCTGCTGTGCATATCACCGCCGTCAGGTTCAGAACTTGTACTTTTTAAAAGTCAAAACAGCTGTATTTTCAAATAGATGACTATCCACTTTTGATATTGTGTCATGTGGTTTTAAGGGGTTTTCATAGCAAAACCAAAACAATTAAAACCTTGATTTTGAAGACAAGATTTAAGGCCTTACCTCTTTAGTGAAAAGAGCCTCCAATTCCTGCTCATCTAAAACAGCATCTTCATTTGTATCTAAAACAGGGCGGAGGAGAAATAAGAATGTTTTTCTTATCATGGAAAAGGACAGGAATGAAAAGAAGAGGCGCCACTCACCATGCAGTTTAAAAAATGTTTTAGGGTTGAACTCCTTAGGATCCAGTCCGTCCGTCTCCTCCCAAACTTCCCGTAGCTGAGCAACACTACCCTGAGGTTTGGAAAAATGAAGCAAAGAGGAAACACATGTAAGAGAGCTTCATTCACAGTTTCCAATTGAAAAAAAACAACATTTGTGCTTACTGGAGCATTGACTTTGGGGTGCTGGTGGTGTTTTTCCTTGAGCTCCTGCATTCTCTTCTCCTCTTTCTCCCTCTTCTCCTGGTCCAGGCCCTTCAGGTACTCCCGTCTCTCGTGCTCCTTCAGCATCTCGTAGCGTTTAAACTCCTCGTGTCTCTCGGCGTCGTAGTTCTCCAGGTCCTTGGTGGCCTAGACAAAGAGCCAGAGCGAATTTTTTATTCCAAGACAATCAGTAACAGGTTGTCCATCATGGTCTGACTGGTATTAGTAGCATACTCAACTCTGATTAGTGTAATTATGATTCTGCTGGAATGTAAGGAGATTCATCACTTCCACACGTTCCATTTCAATCTGGTCAGCACATAAACTGACTGATTTTTCTGACTCTGGGGATCTTACCGTTGTGATTAGCAGCTCAAGGTCTTTGGCCTCGAAGGTGTTTTGATTGTGGGGATCCAGATGTTCAAACTGCTTGAGTAGCGAGCTGTGGTCCATCTGCAGGCCTGCACAGAGAAGACTCATCATTACCAAACACATGCTGGACTCATATGACTTCCATTATATCCTGTACACACTTAACACACCTCTGTATGAAGGCGGTTACATTCCTCTCTCAATACACAATTTACTATTCTGCATTCATGTGTATATTTACTATTGTTGGTATTTTTTTTCCAAGTAAAAAAAGAAAACATTTGCTGATTGCGTTTCTCACAAAATCATACAAATATTGCTTTTCAGAGTACATCATTTGGATCACATTTAGTATAGTTATTAGCAAGATTTGAAGACACTTTCAGTTCAAATACTTGTTTTATGTTCAATGTGACATTTTATACACTACACTAGGACTGCTCAATTAATTGTATTTTAATCGCAATTACGATTTTGGCTTGCAACGATTATGAAAACAACATAATCGAAATAAAACGATTTTTAAAAAAAAATTATTATTATTAGTTTTTTTTAATTTATTGGTTTTTCAATTGAATTATACTTAAAGTTCAGGGTAATCAACTGTTAAAACATACTACACATTTTCTTTTTCAATAAATTGATGTTTTCAAAGTAAATGGATAATCGTTTTTAATAATCGTGATCTCAATTATTGACCCAAATAATCGAGATTATGATTTTTGCCATAATCGAGCAGCCCTACACAACACAACCTATAAAAGAAGACAACGCTACCTTCACAAATGAACATTTGTCATATGAATGTATTTTTCTGATACAGAAACCATGCCATTTTTTTTAGCAGGGATCTGCACAAAATCGAATACAATCTATTGAAATAGGTACATGTACACACTATTGTTCACTACATGAAAATGAGTCCACTCACTTTGTGTATTGGTGCTGTCCAGTTTGGCCTTGAGCAGCATCCTGAGGCGAGAAACCTCCTGACGCTTCAGCTCATCCAGACGAGTCCTCACATGGTGACCCACCAGATCCAGCTCTTTACTGAGACGACCATTCTGAAGAAGCACACAAGACATCCAGGGGAGAACAACAGATTCAACCTGAGATCCTCAGTTTAAAGCTTCGTTAGTGAGAATGAAATAGGAAATGGACACTGACCTTGATGTCCTCTGTGTTCGCTGTTTGCAGTTTCTCCCTGAAGTGAGGGTCTGTCTCCAAAACCTCTATCACTTCTCTGAGATACCTGTCGTAGTACAGGCCAGTGTCCTGAAAGAGTGTGTATGAAAGGAAAGATTATTCACAACCAACTAAAACTCAATTAATTACATGACTGAGACTATTGAGATTGTTACCACGTTCTCTTCCGGCACTTCCTCTTTAGTTTCCTGGTTGTCTCCATTGCGATCTATAGGCACTGACCAGACCCCAGCACAGATGGATAGAACCAGCAGCCACACAGGTGTTGGGTTCATCCTCCTTCAATAAACCACACTAACTGTTACCATATTGTCAAGGTCCATTTGTACTTATTTATAGAGCATTTGTTTTACAACAATCATTAATGAACACAAATATATCAGTCCTTAAAAACATGCACAAAGACAAAGGGCACACATACACACAGACAGTCATGCACATTGGTTAAGCATGCAAATATATGAATCAAACTATGACTGAAAAGCTACAATTTTACAAAGGCACTGCATGAGGCTGATTGTAAGGTCCTCTGTTACTGAACAATTTAACCCTGCTGTATGTTAGCTCAGACTTTCATTTAAAGGTGCAAACAGTATAGATATATATATTTTAACTACTAGATAAATCAAAACAAAAGAAGTCATCTGGGAGGATAGTAACCCTGACCCTGGGTTAGTTACACGTAACAACATCATTATTGCAAACTCATCATCTTATTTTAGTGTGATTTGTTCATGGCTGGTATGAATACTGTATGCCGAATTCGGAAAGAGATTCCATATTATTTGAAAAAACTCTAAAGTTGTTTACTTCTATAACGTTTGTGGCTTCTCTGAAAAGATGATCAATAATATCAGATGTTTTAGGTGGAGTTTGGCGTAACGTTCATTTCTGAGAAGGACACCTTCTACAAGCTGAAATAGGAGCATCTATTCATCTAAAGATACCATAAAGGTTACTGAATATAATAAATAATCCAAATTAAATGTAGCATTAGTATTATAGTGTATTATCCGTGTGGTGGCTAGTCATCGTTAGCTAACTAGCTTAGATTATTAGGACAACACGGATGCGGGAAGTGCTAAACAAACAAATGTATCCTTCCCTAGATGTAGCCATATCATATGTGAGATTTAACCTATGACATGAATAAAGTAATGCTTTGTTTAACAGCATTTATAATGTTATTCATTCGTTACAATATAATTGTACAGGTAATATAACAGGTACTGGTTTTCCATCACCGACAGTAGCCCTGAGCATCGGGGGTTGTAACTGCGTTGTCTCTGAAATGTCACGATTATTTCTAATATAAACTGCATCAATACAAGAAATCTTAATTAAAATACGCTTTAACACAAGATGTCTTTAAATAGATAGTTACCTACCGCACGTATGTTATATCCGATCCGATTCTCAAAGCACGATTTGTATTCGCGTCGGATACAATTGACGTCACGGGTGTGAAGGGGTTGTCCTACACGCTGCTTTCAGGGACCGTCGGAAATACTTCCCACAGAAATGTCAAATATACCAGTTTAATCAGCCCCCAACATATTTGCTCCTGTCACTGTCCTATAAGGGTGTAATTATGACCCTTGTGAAAGTAGATATATTATATTTTCAAATTCAGAGCTCGGAAGAACTGACCCTGTTGAGTTATGTAAATATGATGTGTGAAGTATGTGAAGTATGTGAAGTTTACCAAAAACATAAATAAAACACAAATGCCAAACACACGTTGTACAAACGTTTTAAACGTTTAATTTCTTTGAAAAATAGATCTCATGTATATTAAATTCAGTACACAAACACAAAGTAATGGCAGGTTGAAATAAATTAACATCAAAAGAGCCAACAATTTCACTTAATAATAAATAAAATATATAAATATTATGCATCAAAATAACATCTATGCCTACAAATAGAAATAGATAATAAAATATGGCACATGCGAAAGACAAAATTGCAAAAGTGTTCACAAATAAATAAAGTTAAACAATAAATTATAAATTAATAGTCACTCAACAAATAATTTTAAAATATCAAAACAGGTCAGAGCATTTCGAGGTCATGTTCAATATATATCAGTTTGACTGATACACTTTGATAGGTTTTTGACCGATTCACACTTTCAATGTAAAAGTCGATCCAGTGTTTAAAAATCAATCTCTCTCAGGTCAGTAGGTGTCCCGGGTCTTTCGTTCTCCACCTCCTCTTCCTTCTCCATGGGGCCCTGCTGCAGCCCGCTCCTCAGCCGCTGTCGGAGACCATATTCGATCATGTCACTGTAGCACTGTAGCAATGCCTTGGATAAAAGACATAAAGAAAATCAATTATTTTTGTCAAAGATGCAACCTGGCTTTTTTAACAACTGAAAACCCAAACAGACCTCTCTTAAAGGTCCCATGTCATGGCCATTTATACTGATCATAATTCCATTGTTGAGGTATACTAAAATAGATTCTCCTATCCTAGCCTGGCTGGGAGTTTGTGTGTGTGCTCAGGCTGAGTTCCGCGGTGTCTCGCTGTCTCGCCGACCCCACACCAGTGAGCCAGCTCACACTGTCCGCTCCTCGCAGCAGCGAGCCTCCCAACATCCCGCCGAGTGTGTGTGTGTGTGAGGAAGTCCGCGGATTGGTCCAAACATGACGGCTCTGCGGACGTAACGTAACGGCTCCGCGGATTGGTCAATTTGGACCAATCTGCGGAGCCGTTACGTTACGTCACTATACCCAAATACGTCACTGTACCCAAGAAGAAAACAATGGAAAAAGAGAAATCTCCAACGAGGCGTTCTGGGGCAGCATAGACAGGTCTTTTCTGTGTTAGAGTTTTACTCGCTACAGGGTGTACTTTGAGGGTTAGTGACTCTGCAGACCGTTTACATGCATAAAAAGCGACATAACACACAAGGGGACTGGTAATAACCAGAAAAGCAGGACATGGGACCTTTAACATATTATGGAAAAAACTCTGATGAGATCAAAAGGCCATGCTGTAATGTGCAGCATCAGACTGCAGGTGTACTCACCAGGTCAGCCTGGCAAAGCTCCGCTAGTGCCGCACATATGACAGCCAGCTGAGCCGGGCTCTTGTTGCCCAAGCCCCGCAGAGCACAGTTCAGTGTCGCTGCAGCAACAAGGGACGGTGGTGCTCCCAGGAAGCGGGAGTCACACGCACACATGGCGGCCAGCGTGTCACTGTGCCGCCGCAGGGTGGAGAGCAGCAGCCCCTTCTCAGAGTCACCGCTGTCTCCATCTCTTCGTTCCTCCACAGAGGCAAGGAAATGTGGGAAGAAGTCCTGTGGAGTCACTGCTGCTGTGTCCCATCGGAGGGTGGCGAGGATAAGACGCTCCATCTCCTGATAGAGGGAAGACAGGTGCATTTAGAAAACATTGTGTAACGATAAAACATGCAGAGATATCCTATTGATTGGCACCATACGTGCATACGAAACACAAAAGGAATGTTTTTGTATTGATACATTGTGATATTTCTTCAATATGACCTTGTCATCTTAAAGGATGTGTTAGAGTTCAATAAGTTCAATCAATACTTGTCATTCATTTAACCAAATTCTAAATTGGGTAAATGCATCAATACTATATTCAATATTTATACTTTGGCATAATATCTTTAGTAACTGTTTTCCCATCCAGTTATCTATTGAGGGAAACAAATAGTGGGTTTTTGTTCATTTTTACATTTTCAGAATTTCTCTGATTCCAGCTTCTCAAATAGAAAGATGTGTTGCCTCTATTAACATATTAAAGTACATGGAAATCATTTGGGGTTTGGATGTTTTGTCAAACAATACATAATATTTGAGGACATCACCTTGGACTCTGGAAGGTTGAGATTCTATGTTTCCCCTTTTACCTGAATAATCTGATGATACAACTAGATATGGTTTCACTTTGTGAGACATAATGTCATCTTTGTATATCACTTACAGAATAAACCCTTTGGTTCATCGGGCTAATATAAGTGATATAAAAAAAACGGTAATTTGGGGAAAAAAAGTTAGTTCTAGCCCTATTGCATCTAAATCAATGTCAATTGTGATTTGTCATTTATTTGTATGTATGTAATCGTTTATTTGGCAGGCACAATGCACAGCAATGAACACTTAAAACATTCAAATGTATCAAGCGTAACAGTGCCAGATTTAGCTTTAAGCTATTTTCCATCCGTCATAAAGTTGATGGATGTGTTAAGGCACAATCATACAAGAACACATCTCTGTGTTTACTTAAGTTTGATACAGTTTGGCGGCTAAAACATTTAGACTAACAACTTTATGCAATGTGATAAAGTTGGTTTTGTGCATTTGAAATAATCCACTTGGTTGGAATACAGGTGGTGATATCAGGGACCCACACCTGGAAGGTAACCCAAAACCTTACCAAGGTTTTGTTAAAAATAGATGGACGAGCAATATTCTGAATGAGTTCCCACACAGCCCTGACTGCGTGGTTTTGAACAACCACATTTCTATGCACCTGCCACCTGTGGATGCTGTGTGACTGACTCACCCGCAAGTTTGAAGGCACAAAGCTGTACTCAGCTGCGGCACAGAGAGTATCAGCAGTGACGTTTTCACACTCTGAGAGTTTGGAGGCGATGAGGATGCAGCCTGCAGCCAGGCAGTATGGCGAGACAGGCAGAGACAAAGAGGCCGACAGGAACCTGTCCATCAGAGAGACAGACAGAGGGAACACTGCCTCATCACAGCCAACCTCACAGCACACCTGTGGAGAAGAAAAAAAGAAGGCATCAGTATCAAAGTTGCCATGATCACATAACTCATGGGAGGAGGAGAAACTGGAGCTTCAGAGAGTTTCATACCTCCAGGGTCCATTTGGCCAGCTCCTCCCTGCGCTCTGGCTCCCGCTGGATGAGGGTGATGTAAAGTATGGAGGGCATGTACCTCTCCTCCACCTGAAGCAACCTCTGGATCACACGATGCCCGGACACAGTGGGGTCCCAGCCGGCTCGCAGCTGAGAGGAGCCCACCATGTATCCGCCCTGGGCTTGTTCTCCAGTCTGGCTGTGGTCCTGACTCTTGCTGTTCTCCACCTCCTCACACCACAGAGACATGCCTCTGTCCATCTTTACAGACTGCTGGGTCAAATATGAACTTGTTTACTCCAATTGGTAAAGGAAGGAAGCGGCAATATTGTCCCTCTGTCACCCGAGGAAGCTTGGTTTACTACAGGTGAACAAGCTGGGAAATCCTTTTTCCTTGTTAAAGATGTGTTGCCTTCCTGTGGTGCTGCGATGAATATCCCTCCCCAACCATCGCCTCTGACTTTTATACCCATCGGGGAGAGAGTGAGAGGGAGTGGCACATGGGGGAGGAAAAAGAGCGTGGAAAGGGGCGTGAGCCCTCGTGAGTGACATAAAAAAATTAAAAGACAACAATATGTCTGTGCAACAATTGCTTCAACAGGTGGGGAAAGGGAGAAAGAATGAGAGCAGGGGAGAGAGGGAGGCAGGGGGGAGGGAAGAGGAGCAGACAAGTGAGGGAGTGGCCCGCAGGGACAGAGTAACAGCTTGTCTTCGATACTGAAAGAAAGAAGGGAGGATAAGAAGAGGCGACAAGCGGCGAGAGTCAGAGAGAGGAGAGAAAAGGTCATATCCAGACTCTGACAATGGGAATGGATGACAAAAGGAGGAGGGTGTTTGTTTACAACGTGAGCACCAGAGGAGATGTGTCAAAGTCTGGATGGATGCTCGATCCTGCTGCTGTTAGATTAAGATATTGATATTTATTGATAACCCTATTTCCTATTTTTGTCTTTAACAGATACTCAACCTTAAATACTTGTTATTATTTGTGTACTTAATACTTTGTGTGTTTCCCTGATCCTTAGGGGAAGATTACTGAAATAGTTAGGCTGAAATATTGATTAATTGAATAGATCATTCAATCAACGTTTCATTTTTCTGTCATACATGAGATTAGATTGACCATCTTTGGGGTTAAGACTCCTTTCTTTCGGCCAATTTCTTATAAGGATAGTCATAAGTAAAGTGATACACTTTATTTATAGAGGCTTTACATTATTGAACCAGGGTTAAAGAAATTCAGAAATGGAATGAGGGGAATTCAGAGGGAAGTTTGACAGTTGAAACAAGTTGGAATAAAACAAGATAAAAACAGGTAAAACAAATAAGGCATGTTGGAAATAAAATGTGCTAGCATTGATAAAACAAATTTCTCTTTTCTCAAGATACATTTTTAAAAAGTGATATCAAATTCTGCTATCCTCAGTGAAAGTAAGGTTTTTAGAATATAATTGTGTTAATTAAAGTTGTTGGCTTCGTCTCTTCTCCCCTCCGAGGTTTCTCATTGTCAAAGCAACCTGGGGCCCGCTGCCCCCCCCTCGCCCTCGCCTGGGGCAATCTGCTGCTCGTGTTTAAAGCGCAGCACAGCCACTGGGGAGGGCTGGGCGAGGTATGTGCAACAGACAGTGGAGCAGGGCAGGTCAATGAGCCGTATTGTCTCCCTTTACAAATCAGTGTCAGACAGCAGCCCCTGGCCTTCTGCTGGTTCCTCTCTCTCTCTCACTCTCACACACACACTTTACACATTCATGGGGTAGACACACTTTTCACACACTCTCCGGGGACTTCCTCTGACGGTCACAATGGGGTCGCACTCACCAGTGGAGAATACAGATTGTATTTGACAGTCATTACAGGTGGCTGTGTTAAGGCTTCAATGGCAGCTCATGTTTCAATAGGAGTTAAATGGACGACCACACTGACACCATGACTTGATTTCAGCTGAGCATCAATAATTCATTCTATTCAAAGTAAAGCTGGCGAGTAGATTCAGGTTTCATACGCAGGGGCAAATTGTTTTTGAACTTATTTGTGACAAAATAAATGCACTTCATAAGATACGTTATTAAGCGTAACATAGAAAAAAAGTATTATATAGTTAATAAAATAGTATAATAAATGTAGTTACATTACTTTGATTTAACTAAAATGACTTTGATTTAACTACAATTATATTTGTTCAGACAAGTGAAGAGGTTATCAGATTTTAATTATAAGGAAAAACATATGAAAAATAAAAATATGAGGTATCAAAAGTCAACGTTTTCATGATGCTGAACAAAAATGTCCCCATTGCAAGTGCTATGTTAATTGATTATTTCATTATTGAATTGTTGAATTATCATACATACCTCTGCACACATGTTACTGCTGTAAATGGGGAAGCTGATTTGAACTATTAACATTGTCAGTCATCGGGTATTTTTCATCTACAGTATAACTGCCCATTTTATTTTAGGTTTAAAAAAGTGCAGTATATCCCTCTGAAATGCTGTCAAGTGTCAACTATAAGTACACAGGGCCAGAAAATGGAAATACGGAAGCATTTTAAAATAAGTATATATAGTATAGATAATATATTAATAACAATATATCAGTGACAGACATTTTCAAAAAATCCAACCTAAATAAAAATCTTTAAATAAAAGTAATATTATATATATATTGTTTTGTGAATGTGATCCTCTCTGTAATGCACACTGACCATCAGAACAGCAGGCAGAGGACACTGCCAGATGGGTAAACCTTCTAATGCATAGCTGGGATTCCTGCTCTGAAATAAAGCCAATTAGGGTGCAATATGTCTGAAACAAAAACTCCAGTAGCCCATAGACCTATTCAAACAACCATCTGTCAACATTATGAATTGAAGTCTTCTAACTGTGATTTGAAGTATTTGTGCAGATACAAACCTTTTGTAAAAAAAAAAATGGAATAGGTAGCTTAATTAAGTTTTTACAGGTCCCAAAGTGGAATTTTGTATTTGGCTTGCAGCATGGCAACAATGGATTTATGAGGATCAATAGCCAGATTTGCAGATTAAAACAACAACTCATAACAAAACCTGCAAAGTCCTCACACAAAAAATACCTCAAGAGAATACAATGATATCTTGAGTTTTTTTCAAAACAAAGCAAAGGCTCAAATCTAGCTTAGAGGGCAGAGCTTCAGCCACATCATCTACTGAAGAAAGCAGCTCTTAACACCCAGCATAATGACAACATGAAGAGACCCTAATCCTCCAACACTCAGTCGATTGAAGCATTAGAGAGAATATGGGGTTTAAAGCTGTTGACAAGGCCTGCGCCTATAAAACAGGCTTTGAGAGGGGCTGAAAGCAGATTGAGTTTGAATGAGGGGCTGAGTAAGTTTGGCTCTGCCAGTCAAGTGAGGTCAGGTTGGGGTGGAGGGGAGGGAGGAGGGGGCGGGAGGAACAGGGTGACAGATCGCCAGCCTGTTTAAGCACCCTGTTAAATTCATACATTGCAGCTGTATTCAAACAACACGCTCAGAGGGGGAAAGAGACAGTGATGAGCCAAAAGAGGTCCTGAGAAGGGGTGTGGTTCCCCGCCCCTCATTTTCCAGCTCATTTCCCGGGACAGTGGAGAACAGAGCTCCTTTCCCCCTCACACAGACACCTGCTGGCCAGCGGAGGGGGGGGGGGGGGCAGAGTTTAACCAGTTCACAAGTTAAGACACCACATAAACAAACAGTTGGTAATGGGGCAATTACATTTCATGATTCTATTTTTATTTGTATAACACATTGTTCTAACCTCATTTCAATGTAGCTATCACTCAGTATAAGAACATTTGAAGTTGAAATATTGTTCAATTTAATTAATTATTATAAATATTCTTATGTAGACACATTTTACATTATTGTATGTGTAATATTTTATCTGTTTATATACCAGTTATGTAAGCTTTAAAATGGAACTTTAGGTAATTTACAAGTTAATGGTGCTGTTCAATACATTTAATGGTCATTTTCTTGTGTTTCTTTGAATGTTTCCTGCATTGCATTTTGTTGTTTTGTGTTTGGATTGTCGTTTTTTGTTGGGTGTTACGCTGTTATTTTACTTTGTTTAACTATTTCCCTTTTGAATGCTTCTTTCTTTTGAGTATTATGCTGTTGTGTATTGTGCCTTAGAGGTTATTCTGTGATTATCATGTATTTGTTTAAGGGCCCAGTTAACAAGCAAACTTGATTCGACTTATATTCCGTTTTGTTTTTAGCTGTTCAGATTGAGAGGTGTTGATTCAACTGGATTTTAAACTAATGGTAGAGGCTGTACTACTTAGTTGTTTCCATTTACATCAATGATGGGGACTGTTGAGTTTAAATGCTGTGATATGTACTGTTGTGTGCGACCAACTGTGTGATGTCAAAAGCAAAAATATCAATGACATGCTTCATTAAGATTCAACCATTTATTTGGAAATAATCAGCGGATGAAAATGTTATTTCATGACAATATGTAGATAATTACAAGGCTAAAAAGATCACCACGCCACATGCGCAAACTATAAGGCATGCAATAAAGTTTGCATAGGGCTGGAATGGCATCATACCGTCCTAACAAGATGCTGCCAGTGAGCAAATCCTTCATCTTGCTCCCTTTAAGGAGCAGTGGCGAGGGGACGCAGGACAAAGTGCACTGAAAGCATCACATGGGTCGAGCAGAGATGATTATTAAATCATTGTCAGAAAGGTAAAAGAGAATCACTCAGAGAGGGATGGGGAGTAGAAAGGAGGACAACACTCAACAAAGACACAGGACATGTAAACAAATGACACGCTGTCATGGAGGACGAGGAGCAGACCATAAACATGGAAAAAGAGCACTGCAAGTACAGCTATGTTTAAACAAAAGAAAAAAAGCTTCAACAGCGCCCCCTGCCTCTGACAGACAGTAACAACAGTCTTCATTCCTTCTCATTGGATAGAGTTTTCATATATCTATACATCATTTTTTTGTTCATATATAAAGATCGTCCGTACATTTCTTAGTGACTATAAGTCCCCCAGCTGACCTGCAGATTTAAGGATAGGTGGGAACGGGTGCCGAATCACAGGAAGCAGCGCCTGCCTGGGACTCTGCGAGGAGGCGCAGGGTCTCGCTGGCCTGGGAGTCTGGGCTGTCCTCCTCAGAGCTGGAGGGGACGTACAGACCCATGACCTGCTGCACCTTCAGGGGGAGCTCCTGCACAGGGAAGAGGAGGAGGAGGAGGAGGAGGAGGAGGAGGAGGAGGAGGAGGAGGAGGAGGAGGAGGAGGAGGAGGAGGAGGAGGAGGAGGAGGAGGAGGAGGAGGAGGAGGAGGAGGAGGAGGAGGAGGAGGACATGAGGTTAGGATCACTTGTGTAGAGGTGACTCAACTTATATATAAAAGATCCTAGATTTCGATGTAGCTGTTTGTTAGGTATGTGCAGATCCTGTACTCAATCACTGTTTAGGACAAATGGAAAAAAAGCATAATCTGATGCAATCTCTTAACCTGACCTGTTAGACAACATCAGTCATTTAGGTATAGGCTATATAGAGGGTTGAGTCATTTCCAATATGGTACACTGGAGGTATAATTCCTTGGTTATTCTTAATTCTCAAATGTAAATGTATGCACAGTTTCCCTTTAGATTTTATTCTAAATGTTTGAAGTGCAGTATTACATAACTGCCATGAGTACGTCACCTTTAAGGAAGTATATCATTTGTTACATTTGAGTTTTTAGGTTTCTATAGGTTAAGCAAGGTGCACCCATACACATATATTATTAATTGTTCAGTTGTTTAATGGGGGAAATAGGTATCGGTAAGGAAACAGTGGTATACTGTAGATCCTTATTTCTTCATTATAAACACTGAGACACTCTATTGACTCCTGGCTGAATCTGATTGGCCCATGAAGCTACGCCACACCCCAGCCAGAGCTTTAAGGTCGGCTGATCAGCTGTTGCTGATAGTGCCCAAGACCAGGCTCAAAACCCGAGGGCACCGAGCCTTCGCAGCAGCTGGCCCCAGGCTCTGGAACACTCTGACCCTCCATGTGAGGTCGGCCCAGACACTAGGGGTTTTTAAATCCTCACTAAAGACACACTTCTTCTCTCTGGCCTTCTAGTCAGAGCGGAGCATGACACCTGACATTTCCCTGTGTTTTTGTTTTTTATATTTCTGTTGTAAATGATTGTCTTTTATTGTGATTGTAGTAAAGTGTTTTTATCACATGTACAGCACTTTGGCTCGAACAAAAATCGCTTTTAAATGTGATATATAAATAAAACTTGATTTGATTTGAAGCCTCTTACCTTGCACTGAGTCAGCTGCAGGTAGATGGCCTCCGCTCCTCGCAGAACAGTCTGCAGGTCCAACTGCATCGTCAACTCATTAATGTGCTGAGGAGCATTCACAACGGGGAGTTGTACAGATGAGTGTATAGTTATAGACAAAGTAACTCATTGGCTGTCACACACTACACACCACACACACCTTCAGAATAGTGTTAAAGTCATGGTCTGAGCCAATCAGCTCTCCTCTCTGTGACTGCAGGATGGAACAGGCGATCAGCAGGTGAAAGTTGTCACATGGCAGACGAGACCAGACGACCTGTGGCAGGGAAAAGGATGTTACACAAACACTATTTGCAAATGAGATGCAACGTTTAGTTTACTAATAGATTAGTCTATTGACTTAAAATAGTCATCGGTAACTATTTTGATAAACGCTTAATCAGACATTTTTAAAACAAGTTACAAAATGTAATACAAAATAAAACTGAACATCTGGGCATTGGACTGAAAAAACAAGACATTTAAAGACACACTGATATAACACCATGAAGCTTCAAAGGAGTACATTGAACCTGGCTGACTCTAGCTGTTATAGCATCATCAAATATTCCATGCCTATGTGGTGCACTCACCTCCCACATGGTGAGGATGTCCTCGAAGGAAAACTCTCTCTTAAACCAGATGAGCAGCCAGCGGAAACAGAAGCAAAGAGAGCCGCTGTCCTGAGAGTCTGATGGCACAGAAAGGCACCCAAAAAGAAGAATGAGCCCCTTGTTAATACGTTATATTGTCTTCATCCAATTTGTGAATTTCCTTTCTTTTAGAATACATTTGTATGCCTTTTATGTATATCAACATATGCGCACCCATGTGTACTTTGTTCTGGTTTGTATACTACTTTTCATTGCTTTAACCTAATTACTCAAGAGTTGAACAACAATCCAGTCTGCCTGCATGAGTATAATCTGACTAACCCAGGAAGTCACACAGCTCGGGGTCCAGAGCCTTCAGCAGGATACTGAGCTGGAGGAGCTGCTTCTTCATGGCCTCCTGGGACTCTTCAAAGTTCTGGTGCTGCGGAGGAAACAGAGAAAGCCTCAAATCCATAGCTTTCAACACATTCCTCATCTTCAAACTTGCAATAAAACTGCAGCCATTTTTGAAAGGGTCTGCTTTGTGCTTTCATTCAAAACAGATTTGCAGTGACCACACAGGACTGAGCAAAGCCAGAATGATAATGTAGGGAGAGGAACAACCACATCTAAACGTGTTTTTGACTGATATTCCAAAGCCCACAGAGACAGAGAAGTATTTCTTCTTACCACCAGCTCCATGAAGCCTGTGAGACACCAGAAGGACTCCACCTCGTTCTGTGTGACGAACAGCAGAGGAGAAAGGAGGTCACTCATCCCCTGGACATAACCTGGAGACATGGAAACAGAAGGGAGACGTTGATATATCTGCCTTAATGAGACATACTGTGTGTGTTTGGTATGCTTTGTTGGAAGAGCTGCCTTAGTCCTGAAGAGTCTTTACTTTAAATGTTCAAAACACCGTACCTCCTACACAGTTCTTCATATGTGAACCTGTTAAATATAATAATAATCTGTGTCTAATGCTAGTCCCTCTGTGACCTGTCTTTGTGTCCTGTTGCCTACATTTATTGTTAAAAAAGTATTCTCATTGGCCTTAATTAATAAATATTAAGGACCGGTAAGCACATACTATGACCAAACTATTGACTTCAGAAATGCAATGCCCTTGTATAAACAACTCAAATGATTAATATTACATTGTTTACATTTAGTATGTACTTTACATTTGTATTGGTACATATGTGTTCAGTATGTGCACTTCTGCTTGCCAACAGTTTAGAAATACATACCAAGATCGAAGTTGAACATGCAGTAGGTCATCAGCACATCGTTCAGCAGGGTCAGTCCTGGGTTGTCGTTCCCAGAGAAGAACGTATTGTTTCTGTCCGTCCTGCTGACGTCTCGCTCTGTCACAACAGAACCAAAGCAGTTGAATTTCAATGCCTATTGAACAGGCAGCTGATTCTATGAACAGATCTTCTGTTTTATCACAGATTGCAGGGCTGACCTATCAGGCTTCTGTATCCTTTGAGGAGGGAGTTCCTCATCTCCTGCTCTTCACTGACTGACTTCCACTGCACCTTCATTCTGAAGTACTCGTCCCTGTAGACACAGAAAGACGTTTTAGAGGCTGACTACATTTAAATTGTAGTTCATGGACATTTTAAGGAAATACAGTTTATTTTGAGTTAGCCGAAAAGCCTGATACCACTCTCACATCTTTAAAGTTAGGAAGACAAAGACAGCAACCAGTTCGATTTGTTTAACACAAAGACAGCAAACAGGGTGAAAAGCCTGATTAAATTCCATTAAATAACAACTCTAAAGTTCACAGGTAAACACGTTAAATGTTGGTGGTTTAATCAGAACAACATCTGAAATGTTATGGTTTTGCAGGAGGTTTTATTTCTTGGTCATGCACAGCCCCTTCCTTGAGTCTATGCGTCTTGTCTTAAAAAATATGTAACGCTAACTGGCTGCTGGCGTTATCTTTGAATGTACTATATAGACATTAGGGCTGCTCGATCATAGCAAAAATCATAATCTCGATTATTTGGGTCAATAATTGATATCACGGTTATTAAAAACGATTATCCATTTACTTTGAAAACATCCATTTATTGGAGAAAAAAGATTTGGACAGTATGTTTTTAACAGTTGATTACCCTGAACTTTAAGTATAATTCAACTGAAAATCCAATAAATAAAAAATTATAATAATACAAAAATAATCGTTTTATTTCGATTACGTTGTTTTCGTAATCGTTGCAAGCCATA